GGTCTGTTTAAGGCTTCTAAGTAGGAAAATTTACTTCGTGGAGCAGGAGCAGCTCAGGAGCTGAAATGACCCGACGTTGGAAAATGGTGGCGCGCACAACAGACAGGTTCTGGTACGCCAGCGGGGATGTGGGGTCATTGCAAATTCTGCCGTTTGAATCATTTTTAATCTTTGTAAACACTTCCCCCGTCATATTTTAAGGGTCTAAAACTGCTCCTGCCCACAGGTTATGTTAGTTACCAGAATATAAACTAGCTTAAAAAAAGTTCAGCTAAATAATGCCATTTTACATGTAATTACCATTGAATGTCACACATTAAAAGGTAGAAAATCAGCATGGAAACTAATGCAGTATTTCAGTTATATGGGATCGTGTAACAGATGTTAATTGTTGATAAGAAACTTGCGGTTAAATGTGTTTTTTTCTTTTCAATTGATGTAGCAAAGCATGTTGTTGCATTTGGAAACTTGGTGTGTGTGGGTGCAAACACTTCCTTTTCACACACCAGCTGCGGAATACTTTTAAAATGCAAGCCCCTCTCATTGTACTATAACTGATGACTTTGCTGAACTTAATGTCCCTCATTATATATTGTGTGAAGTGTGCTGCAATAATGCACAAATTGTTCAAGGTTCAAGAACGTGCAATATCTACAAAACCAACATAATAATATCAGGGCTGCCTTTACAAACTGTGGATGATGGTGAATTCAGCAAACTACCTCCAAATGTATTTATAAAATATTTCACCAGGAAGGATACATTGAGATTTCTCTCGTTTTCAAGTATGTCCTGTATAGTGTACAGAGACCAGGAAGTCCCTCTAGCAGCTGTCTAAGTGACAGCCACTAGAGGTGTTACTAGGCAGCAACGTAAACATTGCCTTTTCTCTGAGTAGAGGAGTCAGCTGAAGGTTTTCAGCCACTAAAAGCATCCATTGCTGGTATGATTTGGTACGGCTAGAACAAATTTTAAGCTCTGCTATAGCTATACCTCTAGTAGGGGCTGGGCCGACCCTTATTTAGTGTTACATGGAGCCTACAAGTCAGCGTCACAGAAGAGAGTGTAGGAAGAGCAAGGGACAGACTGAAGGAGCGTGTTAAAAGAGGAGTAGCAGGGGGGCAGAGCCAGCAGTGTTCAGGAGGAGACGCCATTACACACAGCTCCGAGCTCCAGCCGAAAAAAACTAGCATTTTCCCCGCATAGTGCAAAAAATCCAGGGGTACAATACACACCTTCATGCATAGGAACCCACGCAGAACCGGTGGATGCCTTTCCTTTATACCGCAGGTGCAAAAATCTGGTGCCGAGGACTTTGGGCCTACCGCGTGGGACTCCCGCGGCAACTCTGCAATACCTCTTGGGGAAGTGACGACTCTGACACTGCCTTTTCACCTCGGAACCTCTCACCTACCCAGCAGGGCGCCAATATGGGTCACAAATCCCAGAAACCACTGGGAAACACCCAAGACATCAGCCAGATGCTGGCCTCAACATCCAGGGCCCGAGGAATCACCCCTCCACAGCCAGAACCTCCACTTGTGCAGCTGGTGGTGGAAGCCCCTCCAGAGGCAATACTAACTACACCCAGAACAGAAGCACCAGTCACAAAACAAGACATACATGACCTGCTGGAGCACTTCCAATATATGTTCTCAGCAGAACTCAACTTGGTGAAAACAGAGGTGCAGGTGGAGACGGATAGACTGCAGGCCTCGGAGGAGGACGTTATTGATTTTAAACAAGGTATGACCTCCCAGGGAGAAACTATACAACACCTTCAACAACTACACACACAACTAGCCATCAGAATGGAAATCATGGAAGATAAGGGGCAACAAAGAAACTTTAAAATCAGAGTAGTAGCAAACTCCGTCCCGACAAAAGAGCTGCCACACCTTATCAGGAGGCTCCTATCCTGTGTGCTACCCGCAAAAATCCACAAACAATTCTCATACAACGGCTTATACAGAATCCCTGCAGCCGCATCATCAGACAATGTTCCAAGGTATATAAACCTCTACTTCCAAACCTTTGCAGGCAAACAGCAGCTCCTATAAGCCCTGCGAGGCAAAATACCGCTCACCTTCAAAACCCACACCCTCACCTTCTGCCAAAACCTGAGAAACGCTACCTTAATGTGGAGGAGGTCCGTGTGTCCTATTACTCAAGCCCTGCAAACGTCTGGACTCAACTATAGATGGACTTACCCCAGATCTATATCAGTTGCTAAAGAAGGGAAGAACTACAAAGCATCTGTACCAGCGGAGGGTCCGAAGTTCCTGCAGTAACTGGGCTTACCTGAGCCGCACCCGTCGCCATCCACAAGTCATGTCTGGGATGTCTCCTGCATCACTCCATTCATCCCGGGGGGAGATCGAGATTCTGTAACATGAACACCTACAAGATGGACTCCTCTCCCAACTTACTTACCTTTATTTTTGCCAGTTTTAAATCGTTGACTTCAGCCTAGGTTGTCATTCTATATTTTATCTTATTGTATGTTTCTAGTTCTCCACCTGCTCCTGCCGCTTTAATTGAATCACTGCTGCCAGACACGACGGACACACTCACTAGGCATATTCGCCTCTTGTAGACACATTTGGCTACTCACACTCTCTCCCATAAGCCCAATAGGTTAGGGACATGCATCTTCGACTAGAGCTTGGCCTACTCGCTTCGGTCCAGCCGTCTTACACCCTCATACCATGGCACGACCGAACATAATTCCTACCGATTTATGCCATCCCCTCTAGATTGCTGGAACTACCACCTCACTGAAAGCATTTCCCTTCTCCCATAGTCAGTCAGTTATACAGACCCATAACGCTCACAAGCTTTCTTACTCGCCTGACGATTTTGTTGTTTCACTTGTTTTACCACTGTTTTCATAATTTAGCATGTTCTTGTATTTTTATTTTGAAAAGTGAAAACAAAAAAAGAAAAATGGTGCCTTTCATGAACATATATAAGTTTGTACCGCACATGTCAGTGTTGTATGTAATCTATACCGTATAATGTCAATGCATACTTCATGTACAATGAAAAGAGATTGACAAACATTTTTTTTTTTTATTCTTTATTTTTTCTGTGCTTAGGTAGTTACAAACACGTGTCAAGTGCCACAACAGCACACCTGAATTGATCCTTATTTTTGTCACAGTGGCATTAAAGGGAGTTGCACATTTTTTATATATATATGTTGAGATAAGCTAGGAACAATGTTAGTGTTAATATAACAGTGTGAAGATACTATTCGTTGGGCACATAGCATTATAACAGTGTGAAGATACTATACGTTGGGCTCATAGCTTTAGAACAGTGTGAAGACACTTCTATAAGCACAACGCCTTATAACTGTGTGAAGCTACTATTCGTTGGGTACATAGCATTATATCAATGTGAAGATACTATTCATTTGGCACATAGCGTGATAACTGTGTGAGGATTGTATTCATTGGGCACTTAGGGTTGTAACAGTGTGAAGTTGGCTGGTGCGGCTGTGGGAGCACTAGCTATCGGCATGCGTGTGGGTAGCCTGGGGTTTGGTAGTGGAGCTTAATGGTACGCTGTGCGGACCTGCACTGGGGTTGCTCTATGCAGGTAGGGGCTGTGTTGTGGTGTTTGGTATGTGGCCATTGCTCTGTGGAACATTACCTGGTGTGAGGACGTTGCGCCTTTGCTGCAAGCCCTGCGCTTAAATTATAGTGGAGTGGGCTTCGCTGTGTGGGGTGTGTTGGTAGCCCTCGTGTTCTGTCTGCTAAGTGCCGCTCTGAGGAAGGTATTTTAGTGACTCCGTCTGTCGCCGCTTAAATGACCCTGTTACCCTGGGGGGAGGAGGGGATGCCCAAAAAGGCTATATGAGAGTGGCTATGAGGTACCCTGAGTGGTTAAGTAGTATTGTGGGTACTCCGCAACAAGGTTCAATAAACATCAATTATAAACAACAATTTAAAACATTTGAGAGTTCACTCGGTGCAGTATGTGGTGCTGCTGAGGTTTGGTGGTCTGGAACCCGGGTGACTTCGGGGCTGCCTCAGGTTTTGGCTGGTGCGGTGGCTGCTGTCTCGGCCCGTCTAGGGACAAATGGTACCACTGTTTTGGGGTTCCAGGTGGAGCAGTGTGCTGGCGTGGTGCTGGATTCCTCGGGGGGAGGAGAGGCTGAGGGGAGTCCCAGGGTAGGCAGCACTTACTTTGCCTCTTGTAAGTCCCGGATGGTGGAGGCAGTTTTCCCGTGTTGGACCAGCAGTGTGTGTGAGCCTCTCCAGTGGTAGATGACTTTGTGCTGGCGTAGGAGGGCCGTGAAGGGTTGAAGTGAGCGTTGCCACGCCAGGGTGGACCCTGACAGGTCCGCGTAGAAGGAAAGCTGCATGTTTTCAAACAGGTACAGTGAGTGATTTTGTGTGGCGCGCATCACCGCCATCTTGTCCCCGTGGTTTTGGAAGCGTACCAGGAGGTCCCGTGGGGCCTTGGCTGCTTGTTGTAGCCGATACGTGTTTTCTATTGGCACTTGTCTAGCTTGCTTAGGAGGCAGGAGTGTCTGCAGGAGTCTCCGCAGTGTGTGTGGCAGATTGGTCTCCGGTATCTCCTCTTCAATGCCTCAGATTTTAATGTTCTGGCTGCGGTTCTGATCTTCTAGTGTTGCTATGTGTTGCTCATAGGCAAGGTGCTACTGTTTGAGCTCTTGTACCGTTTGTTGCAGGGTTTGTGTTTGTTGCTTGGTGTGCTGGGAGTCCGCCCCCAGTGTGCTCAGTCGGCCAGTTAGCCCCTGCAGGTCCTTGCGCAGTTGGGTCATGTCGACCTGTTTCGTGAGTTGGAGCTCCGCTAGTAGGTCGTTCATGACCGCGGTGGTCACGGGTGAGGAATCTGGTCGTGGGGTTGACTGGCGAAGTACCATCCCCACAGGTGGCTGCTCCATTGACGCCTCATTGGTGAAATCGACGGAGATATCTGAGCAGTATCCGTTGCAGGCGGCCATGTTTGGGCCTTGGGCACTGAGCCCTTGTTTCCACAGGTCTCCAATACTGTGGTGTTATCGCAGCTTATCGGGCTTTTTCGTCCCATATCGTTGGCAGCAGTTTGCGGGTCAGTTTGGTGCCGGGTTCGATGGGGTGGGTCTTTATTAACAGGCCCGAAGTGTTTGTTTGCTGTGGAGCTCTTGTGGCGTGCAGCCATTCAGGTTGGTTGCTTGGCTCCGCCCCCGACAAATTTTTTTTAAAGAGGATTAGCACCTGTACACTCGAGAAAATGGAAGAGGTGGATAGGGGTTCAGGTGGTCACATACATTCTGTGATACAGGATGTATTAAATGTTTGGGGTGAATTAGGCTATAAAATATATATATATATATATATATATATATATATATCTGCAATTCTGTTCCCTCTTGCGCCATGTGTACTTTGGGGTATCATATCTGGCCATGCCATCATTATCACTGCCTGTATTCCTCTAGTGACTTCGAAAATGAATCCCTGCCTGCTGTAGGAATTTGTAGTACATTTGTCCGATTTAGCTTTTCCTGCTAAGATACAGTCACTAAATGTTATTCAGAAAGTACTAATATGGCTTAAACCTTCCAGTCCACTCTAGGCAGTCGGGCTAATTAGCCTAAATTAAGATTTTTGTTTTAATACAATATTGTGTTTAGTGAATCAGCCCCATCATACCGGATTTGTCAGCACATCTAGAAATCTCTCACAGCACTTGTGAAAATGCATGGCTAAAGTCCAAAGTATGGAACATTTTACAGTAGAACAGCTTTCAGACGAGTCCTTACTGTACTCTTCGGGGAACAAGCGGTGCAGCCAGACATGATTAGCTGTTCGAATATACTATAAAAGTGTGGGCTGACCCAGGGACACATTTCCTTGCTTTGTTTCACACATTCAGTGGCAGATAAGTACTTCAACAAACCTTTTCCTCAAATCATTACTTTATTCCCAAGATTTATGCGTGAGGAATTCCTGGAGGATTGAAAGAACAGAAAGTCCCAGTGATGTCTTTGCCTGAATGTGAAAGCTGTAAAGTTGTGATGGCTAGGTTTACCACTGCTATTCTGTGAATCAACCTGGGCTCAAAATGTTTGCCACTAGCCCATGGCAGGTTAAAGTCCAGCCTTGGAGGATATATTATGGCTTGTAGTGGTGAGGACATTTTAAGGCCTGGCTAGTAATGCAGAACTACAAGAACCAGAGTAAGTGTCCTGGGGACCCTATGTAGGTCAGAAGCTGATTCAGACAGAGTTAAATTAACACCTCTCACCTCCCTGCTGCTTCCAGGGAAATCCTTCTTTCTGTTAAACCAAGGTTTCTTACTCTGTGCTGGGACCCAAAACTGGTCCCCTACTAATTTTACCCTGGTTGGGATAGCTACATTTTATTCTTCAGACTACAGCACCGATTAGGCTAGCTGTAACAGCACTGCTTTGACTCTTTGATGTTGGAAAAGTCTAAGTAGAGTTAATTTTTTTACACTAAATTTTTTTCAACATTTGTTATGGCTTGAAGGCAAATGGGACACTAAGCTAGTTTTTCAACTGACAAATGGGGTGCCAGGCTAATGCCATGGATAGAATTTGGGCCACGCATTAAGAATGTCTGTATTACCCAACGGAATGCTATCAGGGTTATTTTCTAAAGTAAGAATTGGAGGGAACGTGAAGTGCATTTCAAATTGTAGGCCAAAGTTGAAAAAATGAAAGCATAGCTGACTGGGACAGATTCTACAGTTTGTCTATGTGGATCTTAAATTTAACTTTGAAGCCTACGGAGCCTGGAGTCTACTCCCGATTTAGCAGAGATGCTCAGTCTCAGGCACCCTGGCCTCCACTGATGAAATGGAAAAGACCGAGCTATATGGGCAGTGATAGGCTGAGAGCATTAGCTAACCGCACTCAGCCAATCACTACCCCAATCCTTGGTATCAATTGGTACTCCACGTGTTGGACATACGGTTCTACCCTCTCATTGAAAGAACTGCAGGCTCAAGCATCTCCGCTAAACACTGAGTAAACCCATCTGTAAATCCCAAGAACACTAGGCCGCATAACCTTTTCACCCAGTTGAAGTGGTTGTGGTGCCTAAAAGTTGCCTTTAAAGTTTTAGGTCAAAGTAGTCTAAGTCTGTCTACTTTTGGCCTAAAATTTGAACTTCAAAAACCTCAACAACTCTTATTATGCTAACAAATCTAGTACATTTACTACTCATATTAAACATTTACTTTTATGAGACTAAAGGTTTTAATTGTAATAAATTGTCATTTTTGTGCTATAAATTTTGTTGTTAGTGAGACATGTTAAAAGCATTCTATGGGACAGCACACCTTCCCTCCCTTACCCTTATCTTAACCTATCCTCTCCCCAACTCACCCTACACAAGTGGAGGAAGTGGGGACTCCGAAAGGGAGAATAAGGTCCTAAATCACAATAAGGGTGCGGACACTCACACCTCAGAGAAGCAAGAGAGCACAACACCTGGGCTAGATGACCTACAGAGATGCAATGGAACTTTTAGACAACAGAGAAAGGAAACGGCCACATAGCATAGAAAGACAAAGCAAATTATGTTATCTGGCCCAGATCGGGAGGTAAAGGCCCTCGGGCTCAAAGATCGACTACCAAAGGGGTACACAAGAAATGGGACTTATGGACCCCCACTCAGAGAGGGAGGTTGGGCACAAACTAGGCCCCACATGAGAGGTCCGCTCCCTGACATACATGATACCCGAATAATATGACCTTCTCTCCTGGGGTAGCCACGTAAAGCCAAGCAAATGTAAATAGTTCAGGTAGAATACGGATGTTAACAGCAGACCTTACCCCACTGAATGTACTATGCAGGACCTGCGATTCCAACACTGGAGTCTTATAAATGTTAAAATGTTAAGTTGTGACCTGCGTGTCACTGCTGCATAATCATACGTTGGTTGTTTGTTTTTTGTTTTCTTCCCAACACGACAGGGACCTGTGAGTCCCCATTGATACTCATTATGTAAGACAATGCAGTCACTTAACTTCTACATTGGTATGTGACCTGCGAGTCACGGAGGCACGTTCTTAAGTTAAATCCTTGTTCCTTCCTTCTACTCAGTTACCTGGGACCTGCAAGTCCTTAATGTGGTCTTTTATAATTGCTACAAAAAGCTTGACAATGGAAACATTCAATAAAGAAAATATTTTAAAAAAGAAAAAAAAGCATTCTATGGCCTGCTATCAGGACAGGAGATCATACAATACTATGATCTCACATTTTTGGAAATTCCGAATCCTTTAATTGGGAACATGGCCTAAAGCTTTTAGAAAATTAGTCGGAGCAACATTTATTTTTTTCTGAAGTTTACTAGTACTTTATTATGGAGCGTTTGGTAGGGTAACAAAGATAATTTAGGGGCCAATTTTAGTGTATCTTATTGAAGTGATTTTTAAATAGTAAAATATATGCACACTTAAAATATTTTAGAAGTTATTTACAAAATAATTATTTACTAAATTAAAAGGAGTACTCCCACTTCCCTCATGGGGGAAATATAAATAAATAAAAAAAAATCACAGTTTAGTAAATATACCCCCAATGCATACAGGCATGAATGTTAATGCAAGTATTCATTGGGGGTATATGTTAAAAAAAGCTTGAAAAGACCTTAGCAAGCCCTCCAATTTTTTTCCCGTAAGAGACTTGCAGTCTCTTCACAGGAAAAAAAACAAAACAATCAGAGGCTTCTCATTGAGAAGCACCTGAATTGGTGCAAATGTGCATCCGCACACAAAAGTTCATGCACACAGCTACATGTGTGCGCACAGGCTTATGACCAAACGCGCACAGATACGCGTGTACTCGCACACATCTGGTCTGAGGTCTTGAGCTGGTGAGGGGGGAGGCAGGCACGGGGAGCTAACGGAAGGAGTCTTCAAATTTCCCTGGCTGGGGTGTTTGCAAGCAAATGCATAAAAGTGCTGATTTCTAACTTTTATAAACTGGGGTTAAACTAGGCAACTCCTCACCCATAAAGCACTTCTTTGGGGTGTGGATTGGTCCTTTAAAGATTGCAGCGAGTTAAGACCAAACTGCAAGTTTGAAACCAAAATAAAAATTATCTTATAACGTCCTGTTTTCTTTCAAAAGTAAAGTATATTTTTATTTCATAAAACGTTTGAGACCCATCCTAAGTTTGCCAGTATTGGCACCCTGATGCGTTTTATGTAGAGCCTGGCACATCTCTCCACTTGTGAGTAATTATACCATTGTACGTTTCCACTGTCATTTTACAGATTACACTATTTGTTGCTATATGTATTTTTTTTGTAGATTCCCAATTGCTGTATTACCATCACTTACATGTGGACATCTACCTTTTAAACATACTGTGAAGTATATTTAATCTTCTACTTAACACTTGGTGTTGTGTATAATGGCTAGTATATTAACTACAAATTTATCTATTTACAAAATAAAAATTAGGAGTGCCCCTCCAATTCTGCTATTTTGGACTAACATTTGCAAATCGCCCTGTCAGTTTATCTCAATTTCTGGTTTAGTGCATAATCCCCAATTACAAAATATTCTAGAGAGGGCCTGTATACTAGGCTTAGTGTAGAAAGATTTGTTTACAGAAAAGAAAATCTCTGTTTAACCAATTTTCAGAGGGAATATGAACAAATAATTGTGAGGCCTTGCTCACAGCTAGCTGCTGAAAAGCTAAATTAGAAATGGAAAATAAAAACCATTTACATTTTGAGAAGATCAGAGTTACATTACCTTTATAGAGAACGAATGAGCATACCAACAGGGATTTTTCACAAAACTCAACTTTAGTGAATTGAACTCCAAACTGCAGAATTTAGGCTCTTATAGCCAAGCTGTAACAATATCAGATTAGCCATTTTAGCCTATTTGCCATTTGGATTTCAAATGTACTACAATCAGTTTGGTGAACAAACCTCTCAGCTGGTAACTGTGGGTCACTTGGTGCATAGACACGGTTTTACGATTACAGCTGATAATGCAGTATTAACAGTCATTGTGAAGTCAGCAGCCTGTCCCAGTGCTGACGCAGTACAGTTTAGATAAAATATGTACAGGAGGCGTAGTTAGTGTTTCCGTTAATGAATGTATAAAAGCAGGAGGATTTGTCCTTACAGGAATGTGTTTAGTGCAGGGGTGCCCAAAAGGAAGATCCCTAGATCTTGTACTCATGATGCTTTGCCATAGTTTAGAATAGCAAAGCATCAACAAGTTGCAGTTTAATAAATTATTTGCCCGTTTTAAAAGTGTCACTCACTCCTTTCGACAACAAAAATGAGTTAAAGGGACACTCAGGCATCCAGACCATTTCATTTCTCTCATTGAAGTGGTCTGGGTGCAGTGTCCTGTCCCCATTAGTCCTGCAATGTAAAACATTTAACTTTTAGAGAAGCTGCAATGCCTCTAGTGACTGTTTTTTTTTAGACAGTCAATAAGGGGAGTTTGACATCCAGCATCAAGGAAAACCCCATAGGAAAGCATTGAGGCAATAATGTGTGTGCAGCACTCTCCACACATGCGCATTTAGTCTTTCCATCAGCTGATGTCGGAGAAGCACAGCCAGTGCCGAGGACATCAGCACTGGAATCAGACACACGGCTGAGTGCAGGGGCAGAGGGAGGCGTTAGTGTGACTTTAAAAAAAAGAAAAGAAATAAGAAAATAAAAATAAATAAAAAGTATTTCTTACATTCAGGTTCCAACAAGCATAGCATATCTGCTTGCCACAGAGATAACCGTGCCAGCTATACACCTCCACAATGATAGATTCTGCATCATGCATAGCCTACTCTAAGAGCTAGATACATTTAAATCACCTAGCTGCAAGGAATTAATATTACGCAGTTACATTTTAGGAGCTTTGATTATACTATACTTTGTCCTGTTAAGGGCAATTTGGAGTGCCAGTTCCCTGACATGTGGGGAAAATATAAAAACACCCACTAGACTGATTTGCAAAACAGCAGATTATACCGCTCCATTTGAGGGAGTCCGCAGCGTAACATTGTATTTCATATTTAGTAGCAGAACATGATGCAGCTACTTGACTATATCTTTCTTACCCGTAAAATTTTAAATAAAACATTGGGAATATAAGGAATACGTGTTTTAGTCAAAAAGAAAAAAAAAAGAGAAACTTTATTTACAGTGGCTGACAATTGTGGCTAAATATGCTGTATCGTTTCGGATACAGTAATATCCTTCACCTGGAGATTTCCCTCTAGAGCAGCTTGGTAGATTTCAATTGTCTCTGCAAGAGGTAGGGGTTCCACACTCTCTATAATTGCAATAGTCTCTCCCATCTCTGTACACATTATAGTCTGCTGTGGCTGAGTCGGCTGGATCCCCTGACCCTTGTGTGTTTTCCGGTGATAGCGCAAATTGGAAAGTGACTTGAACCTTTTGCCACATTCAGCGCAGGAGTGCGGCCTCTCTCCGCTGTGAACATGCTTATGGTCTGACAAGTGCACAGCCTGAACAAATGTCTTACCACAGTCTTCACAACTATAAGGTCTTTCACCCGTATGTATCCGTCTGTGTTCCCGAAGGTGGGTGGCTTGCCGGAAAGCTTTTCCACAGTCCAAACAGGGGAATGGGCGTTCGCCCGTGTGAATGCGCTGATGGAGCTGCAGCGTGGAAGATTCCATAAAAGCTTTGCTGCACACACTGCATTTATAAGGACGCACCCCAGAGTGCTGTTGTTGGTGCCGGGTGACACCACTCTGACTGGCAAAATGTTTGCTGCAGATCTGGCACTTGTAAGGTCGCTGTGCGCCATGAGTCAGCAGATGGAGATTCAAACTGGTTTTGCAATTAAGAATTTTCCCGCAGATAGGGCAAATATGCCGCCTTTGCCTGCTGCACTTGTGTTTTGAAAGTTGTGATTCCTGTGCAAAATGTACACCACAATCCTGGCAGTGGAATGGTTCTTTACCCTCATGCTCAAGCTTGTGCAATTCCATTAACTTTTTCCGCAAAAAGGATTTATCGCAGTCTAGGCACTTGTAGGGCAAAACCCTTGTGTGGCCGTACATGTGCAAGGCTAGTTTATTGGCCTTGTTAAATTTCATTCCACAAATCTCACAGGGCAGCAGGCTGGCCCCGTTATGCAAGGCACGATGTTGTTGCAGATTGGAGCTCTGTGTAAAGCTACGACCACACAGCTCACAACTGTATGGCTTCTCTCCTGTGTGGATAAGGTGATGCCTGGTTAGATTTGCCAGGGAGCCAAAAGTCTTGCCGCAGTCAGTGCACTGAAAAGGCCGTTCACCTGTATGTGTGCGCATGTGATTTCGCACGTGCACCTGCTTCTTAAACTTTTTTCCACACACGCTACATTTGTGTTTCCTTTCCATGACGTGTACAATACGCTTATGACAAACCATTCTCAAACGAGAAGAAAAAGCCTTTGTGCAATGTGGGCACTGGAAGCTTGGAGGTGAACCTACTGCCTCTGGGTTTCGCTCTCCTGTTGCATTGTGTTTACTGAACCCATTTTCTTGAGGTCCAGGGTTACCGGAATCAGTTGGTAGACTTTTAACTAGAGGAGCGTCCCCTACTGCAGGAATAATAGCAGGTGGTGGTGGTCCAGGGGCTGCCGAATTCAGAACCGTAGCAGGCTTGTCTTTGCCAGTGTCAGTTTGTTTCTCAGATTTAGAAGCAGGGACTCCACTCTTACCAGCATGCGTCCTGCGGTGATATAAAAATTTGGTCATATTGCTGAAGCTTTTGCCACAGTGGCAGTGATGCAATGGATCTGCAATGTGATTTTTTCTATGTAGAACAAGAGTAATCTCTGTGCCAAATCCAAGACCACAGTCCACACACAAGAACAGAGTCTCACCACGATGCACTCTCATGTGCTGCTCCAGAGAAGCCTGTTTTTTAAACATTTTGTAACAGTTGGGACATTGCAAGGTGCCTTCTACATGAACACGTCTGTGGGACTGAAGACGGTTTGCGGTGGTGAAGAGACGATCACAATCTGGACATGGAAAATCTTTGGTCTGATGCTCCTTACGGTGTTTCCACAAATCATCAGCATTGTCACAATATTTCTTACACTCGTGGCACCGGAAACGAGAACGCTGATGCACAGTTTCCAACACATCCTTCAAACCTTCTTCACGCTCATCTTGCATCCAGTCTTTGCGCAATCTCTCCAAAACAGCAGGTGATGGGGGCAAGTTTTCAATATTTCCATGTGTAGGGGACGCTCCACTTTCCTTTTCAGACTCCATAAAATGCCGGCCTTGGTGGTCAAGAAATTCCTCAGGCGTGTGAAACACCTGATTGCACTCCGAGCACTCATATGGGTGCATCTCAGTAAACTGTACAAGCTGGTCCTGAATTTCAGATGCGGTTGGGGGATGTGTGCTAGCTATAGACACTGGTGCAGTCTCTGTGCTCCCTACTACAGCTGACATTTCTACCCCCCAACCATTTAAAGTTCTCTCATCCAAAAGAACATTCTGAAGATTGAGTAAGGCTTGAATGCCGGAGCCAGTCTGCAGAACCACACTTTGTTGAGGTGGTTCTTCCTGAATTTCATGCTTTTGCCGATGAGAAAGCCACAGTTCAGGAGAGACAAACAGCTCCTTGCATTCACTGCATTGATAGTGTATTTGGCTGCTTGCTATGGTGGATGGGGAGGCAGGAGTCTGAGGCAGCTCTCTCATGTGCATCTCCTGATGATGTAGCAATTCATCTGGTGATACAAGGACTTGCCCACACTCCAGACACTGGTACTGGCTGTCTTGTACAAAGCTCTGCAACTCTCCTAACTCCACAGAAACATCCTGGGACACTGCTGCTTGCATCCCCCCACCGAGGTGGTTCTGTTGATGGAGCAAGACATCCTCCAAAGTGTTGTATAAGAGGCCACATTCTGAACACATGTACTGATGCTGGAATACTACTGGGGACTGAATATCCTCGGCCATGTCTGACAACACCAATGACTCTGCTCTGCAAGAGAAATGGACAGACATTAATGAAACAAGCAAAATTAAAGAGAACTAAAACAGGTTGAATGTAAAGCAAATTAATTATAAACATATATAAAATAAACAAAAAAACACGTCACCTGGTCCAATACACATTCTGCACACTCGCCCCCACCCAAGACACCTGCAGCTTCTGCAACCCAAACCCCCTCGGTAGACTACACATTCCCCGTCTACACATGCTGCCCCTCCCCACATTCTGACCCCCCCACCTGGTCCAATACACATTCTGCACACTCTCCTCCCCCACCCAAGACACCTGCAGCTTCTGCAACCCAAACCCCCAGTAGACTACACATTCAGCTACAGCTTCTGTGGACCCCCCAACCTGGTCCACACACTCTGCCCCCGTCCAACACACATTCTGCCCCCGGTCCAGTACACATTCTGCCCCCCGTCCAATACACACTTGCCCCCCCTCCAATACACATTCTGCCCCCCGGGTCCAACACATCTGCTGCCCCCACACAATATTCTCCTGCCCCCGGTCCAATACACATTCCCGCCCCCCTACATTTCCCCGCCAGCCACATTGTAGCTACACATTGTGCCCCGCCCCCAGCCAGCTACACATTCTCCCCCACATTCTGCCCCCGGCCAGCTACACATTCTGCCGCCCCCGGCCAGCTGGTTCCATTGTACAGCGCTACGGAAGTTGCTGGCGCTATATAAATAATAATGACAGAGCGGATACCATGGGGGGCCCCTTGCTGCCCGGTCAGTCCGCGCTCCCCCCGGTACAGAGCGGCCCAGTCAGTACCCGGCCCCCGCCCTGTGTGACAGCTCCCGGTCCCCCGGCTCCCTGCCCGGCACTCACTCTCTCGCTCGCTCGCTCCGGTTGGCGGCCTCCTCAGCCGCTGTCTATCCAGGAACCTGCCAGCATCCCGGCTCCTCACTGGCCGCAAGCGACCAGCCAATCCGGAACAAGCACCGCCTGAGCGCGTATAGAGGACTTTCACGTTACGTCATGGGCTACCAAAACGAGGCTGACCAATGGGAACGCCCATTCCGAGATGCGCTCAGTGTGAAGAACAGAGCGTACCGCTAGGTGGCGATAGAAGTCATTTCACATTAGCTGGGGATACTAATCCTGCTTCCTGCTCAGGATCCTGGCAGAGAGGGCAGCCTGGCACAGGCCTAGTCACTTTATAATCTATTATCACAGCCTGCTGGGAATGGACAGTGCTGAATAATACAATCCCTAACTGATACCTGCCAAGTGGCCCTATGTACAAGGATTAGTCCTTATTTTGTGCCCAAATCCCTGGATTTTCTTTTCGATTCCAAAATTGCACTAGGTGTGTGTATGGGTATCTGTGTGTCTGCATGGGTTAGTGTCTGCATGGGTCAGTGTGTTTGCTTTGGTCAGTGTGTGTGTCTTTATGAGTGTATGCCTGTGTGTGTGTATCAGTCTGTGTATTGGACAGCATGTGTCTGCATGGGTCAGTGTGTGTGTGTATGTATAGGTCTATTTGTGTGTACAGGTATCTGTGTGTTTAGGTCAGCGTGTGTCTGCATGAGTCAGTGTGTGTGTCTGCATGGGTCAGTGTTTGTGTGGAGAGGGGTCAGTGTGAGTGTATGTGTGTGGGTCAGTGTGTGTCAGTGTGTGTGTGGAGGGGGGTCAGTGTGAGCATATGTGTATGTGTGGGGGTCAGTGTGTGTGTCTGTATGGGCCAGTGTGTGTGGAGGGGGGGTCAGTGTGAGCTGCTTGTGTATGTGTGTGTGTGTGTCTGTATGGGTCAGTGTGTGTGTGTGTGTGTGTGTGTGTGTGTGTGTGTGGAGGGGGGTCAGTGTGTTTGTGTATGTGTGTGGGTCATTGTCTGTGTCTGTATGGGTCAGTGTGTGTGTGGAGGGGGGTCAGTGTGAGCATTTGTGTATGTGTGTGGGTCATTGTGTGTGTCTGTATGGGTCAGTGTGTGTGTGGAGGGGGGGCAGTGTGAGTGTTTGTGTATGTGTGTGGGTCACTGTCTGTGTCTGTATGGGTCAGTGTGTGTGTGGAGGGGGGTGAGTGTGAGCATTTGTGTATGTGTGTGGGTCATTGTGTGTAAGTCTGCATGAGTAGGTGGAACAAATGGGGGGGCAAATTTTGTTTTGCATAAGGCGGCAAAAATCCTTGCACCAGCCCTGTGTACAGTGTATCATTGGCATCCAAATTTGAATTGTTTTAGGAAGTAACCTAGAAGCATCCTTTACATACTGCTACTGCAGGCTGAGCTTTAGTTACCAGAGAGAAAAAAAATTTCTTGTCAATCTGCTAGAAAATGGATTCTTTATAGAAAATAAGTGACAAGACTCTGCACTATATCCAACAATTGACTGCCGTAAATGTATTTAGATATCAGTCTTGAGAAATAAGTCAGTTTGATCTTGTTCTAAATTACATTGGAAACATGCTTGTCAATAGATTGTGAAGCCACCTACAGTGTCATGGTATACCCACCCAAAGGTGTCATCTCAAGTTGCAGCCCCTTTAAATGAATTGTCCCAGTTTAAAATGGTAGTTTGTTATTTGGGATCCTTTCCTGGATTCCCCTTCTGGTATTCTGCTTCTTGGGCAGGTGAGGGCAATATTAAAATAAAAGATTATAAAAGTACATCATTGGTTGGTGGTTTCAGCCATTATTTATGTAACAAACAGCACGTTAGCCCCAGGCTAATTTTCAAATACATTTTCTTCCATTAAGCAAGAATTACAGCTAATTACAGATTATACGCAGTCTCATCATGGCGTACATAGATCCCAGGCTAATACTCCTCCTTTATGTGAGGGATCAAACAAATGGTGGTGTTTTAAGCTGGCTCGGTCCTCAGTAGCCCTCCACTGATCCTAGTATGCGGAATTCACATGCTGTCTGAAGGAATCGATTCATTGGTTCTGATGTTCTTATGGTATCTGTGCCGTAGTAATGTAATTGTTTACCTCTGGCAGCATGTAAATCCTTCATACAGTAATATCCACATGCCTCCCAGTAAAATGTGGATATTATAGCTGCCCAAAGACTCTTGGCTGGGTTCTGGAAAAGAAGGCTCTAGTTGGTGTTAGGAAGACAGCCACTAGAGGTGGATTTAACCCCGCAAAGTAAACATTGGGGTTTCTTCTAAACTACGGTATTTTACATTGCAGGATTTTATTGACCGGACCTCTGCACCCACCCAGATACTTCACTGAGATTAGTGATCCTTTAAAGGAACAACCTAGTCACCATAACCACTGCAGCCCACTGTTGGATGGATGGAAATGCCTGGAGGAGAACCTCATGTAAAAATCTTTTCCCTTCTCTCCCCTTACCCAAAAGTGCAAGCTGATGTATTTCCTGGGGTGTCCTTTACAAGAATCTCAGATCTAAGAAGAGACAGCGCCGCTTTTAATTTTAAATTTGATTATAATTTGTCACAATTGCCTGTCTTGTGAATAAACCTAAATAAAGTCTAATAAGATTAGTACCACCCCCACCCCAAAAGAAAATAAACCAAAACAATTGACCCTGAATGGCATCCAACAAAAACAGAGTGAGTTTTTAACATGGTTCATAAGCAAGATAATTAAAACTTTAACCAATCACACTATATTTAATATATATCACACTATAGTTAATATATATCACACTATATTTGATATACATATCTGGATCAGGATATAGTCCATATGTTCTTTAAAACAAATGTGTGTGAATAAGCTTGTCCTGTTTATGCACTATTTAAATTCATAAATAGATAGATATTTCCCAGGATGCTCAGGGAACCTAATGCTGGCTGAGCATTATGAGAAACAGAGTTCTAAAGTATCCCCAGGCTGAACGCCAGCTACCCCTGGTATAGAAAGTAACGTATGGTATGCTATTGGGTCAAATGTAATTGAATGTCCTAGATGCAGCAAATGTTGAAGAACTCAGGTTTGATGAAGACAGAAAATTGATGCATTCCTTATATAAATAAATGCTCAATGCTTTGGTCAGGTTGACCACAATGCATTCCCTGAGTCTTCTCTTCGTGTTATTTTTCTGAGCGAATATAAATTGAACTTTCTATTTTCAGCCGCTGGGAGAATGCGCATGATCTCAAGGTCAGCTTGACCCTTTCAAGGCCGCAGAGTTGAACACATCAAAATGGAAAGGAAAGGGTTAAAGTGCATGTTTTAACAAACCTAAAGTCACAGCGTTAGTAAACCTAGCACAACCTGGGTGTTATGACAAACGATTAAGGCCTCGATTTAATACTGTTGGAGAAAATCTCCAAATGATTTAATATTTTTGGATAAGCTTTTGAAATTATTGAATATTAGGAAATATATATATATATATATATTAAAATGTATCTTTTTATATATGACATATGTTTTTGATATTTTAATATGTTGTATAAAATCTTTTTCAAAGTTTGTCCAAAAAATTATATTGTTATTATCCAACTATATTAAATCGAGGCCTTAGTACAACGTTCCTGGAATTGTTATCAAATCTATGAGCCCATCAGTAGAATTATGAGCATTGTCAACCACTGGTTTCCCTGCCCATGGTTAATTTTTACACAAATTCCAGCCCCAACCCCACTCCAATGTTTCCCCAAGCACAGCCAAGTGTACACTGCAGTGATTGCAAACCAAAAACCTGATTGTTTTAGAATTACCCAGTCAAACCTCAGACCTCCGTCTGATTGAGAACCTATGACCAACGTGAAAACTGCCGTTTACTTAAAGTCACATAGTCTGTTTGAGCAATACTGGCAGTTAAATGGTCAAACTTGCATTTTATTATTTATTAATGAATACATCCCAAAGTGTTAAAAATGCGTTTTGGATTACTAAGTACTAAGTCACTTGCTTTGTGGCATTTGCTTTTCTCCTGACCAGAATTCCAGTTGTCGATCATGGCCTACTTATGTGAATGACCTTGATTTGTCCCTGTAGCTACTAAATGGGCGGCTGGGCCAGTGTATTCAGCCAGTGGTGTGCAATGAAAGACAGGGCACTGTATAAAACATGGAGCCTTCCTTCACATGTTTGAGCTTCTAAACATACATTATAATGAGGAAATTGGTGATAACATTGGATAACTAGGGGTGTATTCATTAAAAGTGAGCAATTGTTTAACTGATACAAAACAAAACAAAATAAAACATGAATGACATCACAAACATGATATAAGAAGCTGCAGATACCATTATCTCAAGCAAGTAGTTTCATTCATGTTTTTCATGCTTATAACAGCATGTCATGCATGTGCCTGCTTTGGTATGTGCGAATTTGGGCCACCTTGGAGGCGGGTGGAGGTAAGGCCAGCTCAGAGCAATGTGACCCAAATTGCATCACAGAGAAATCTCTTTACTACCAAGCTCCCTTCCATCTATGCAGAAGCTATATGGTTAATATCTTATGCAGAAATCAGCCCAGCGGTTAATGGGATCGGTACTATTTAATGACTGTTTTTGCCAGGACAAGACACCCAAAAGTGTCCTAGCTAAAACAGGACAGTTGGCAACTATATAACAGTCTCAGCCATATTTAGCTTAAAGGGACACCGTAGGCACCCTATTGAAGTGGTCTGGGTGCCAACTCCCATCACCCTTAACCCTGAGCATGTAATTATTGTAGTTTTTATAATCTGCAATATTTACCTTGCAGGGTTAAGTCCTCCTCTAGAGGCTGTCTGCCAGTCAGCCACTAGAGGGACTTCTGGGTTCTTAGGCAACTTTTTGTCGTCTAAATCTAAACATCGTCAGAATCCCTATAGGAAAGCATTGAATAATGCTTTCCTTATGGGTAGATCCTAATGCGAGCACGGCCATTGGAGTGTGGGCGGAGCTGAGCCAGCACCGAGGGACATCGGCGCTGGACCCAGGTAAGTGACAGTGACCACGGTGGTGGTCCTTGACAGAGGGGGAAGCTATAGAGTTTGTTTTGATGGCACTATAATTTCCCTAAAGCTG